AATGGCTAGAGAAGCTGTGGTATATTCACACAATGGAATACTATGCTGCATTGAAAAACAAGGAACTCATGCAATATTATACAAAATGGATGACCGTGGAGGACGTTATGCTGAGTGAAATATCTTGGTCACAAAAGGACAAATACTGCATGGTGCCACTGTTGTAAAACAGAACTGACATTGGGATTGAGGGAAGACAGAAAAGGAGGAGATGAATGATGTATACTGCATTGAAACAGACGAGGGAGAGAACTGTTTAAGAGGGATATATGATTAGGTATTATTGTCATGATAGGAGTCCAAATGAAAGCTGCATAGTGGAGTGGACTTGGGGGGAGGAATTGTATAATAATGGAATAATTTTTCTTTTACTTTTCAAAGAGAAGCATGAACTGGGGGGAGGGGTGGGCAGGGAGAATAGTGCAACAATGAATGAATGGAAATCCAAAGTCTCTGTAAACTTTCATTAAGATTAATAATAAAAAAGGAAAAAACCCCACAAATCCCTAATAAACAACATGCCTCTAGAAACTCTATGAACGCAGAGAAACGACAATAGTTATAGAACAGGTTCAGGTTTTTGTTCAGGGTCACTATGAGTCATGCTCGATTTGATGGCTCTTAACAACAACAGTAACAATCTATATTAGTACACCTGGATGACAGCTGTTTCAGAGCAAGGAGGAGAAGGCAGGGAGTTTAGGTCAATGTGGGTGAATCATCTAGAACAGAAGTAGAAAGAAGATTGACCCAACATCAAGAATATAGTCAAGGTCACTGATCAGTCTGTCAAGAAATTGGAATAAGAGAGAATTTTCCTGTGTATATTTCACAAATAAGAATTTTGTGGCTTTGACAGAAAGAGGCAGCAAGGTGTGAAGCAAACTTTATTTATTTTTTAAAAAAAGGTAACACAAAGGCCAGTGATGATCTGCAAACATGTTCTGGTTGTCTTCCTTAGTGCTGTGGGTTTGTTGTGTAATTTCCAAACAGGCAATCAGAAGTAACTTCTGGATTCTTGTGAAAAGTAGAGAATCAGGCCATTTCCTGTAAGTCAAGCTGCATGCATGAGCCTGTTTTCCTGCATAGAAAGGATTGGTTGCACGGAGGATGATTATCACTTTAAAAAAATATTTTAATTGTGTTTTTAATGAACATTTACAGATTATATTTTCATTCATTCATTGTGGCACATTTCACCCCCTCGCCCTCTGCTTCCCTTCTCCCATTTCACTTTTTTTTTTAAAAAAAAACAATAATATATTCATTTATTATTACATAAGTACTTATTCCCCTCCCCCACACACACACCACCAGCATCCAATGATATATCTCTTATTCTCGGTGAAGCAACCCAAGTGCCCATCAACAAAGGAATAGATAGAAAAACTAGGGTATATTTATACAATGGAATACTACATAGCACCGAAAAACAAAGAACTTGTAAAATATTTCACAACCTGGATGACCCTGGAGCACGTTATGTGGAATGAAATATCTCAGTCACAAAAGGACAAATACTGAATAGCACCTTTCTTATAAAGCATGTCTGACACTGGGGGTAGGGAGGAGAATAGGATAAGAGTGGATAGATGATGGTTATTGCATTGGAACGGATAAAAGAAAGAACTGTCTAAAATGACTATCACTCTTAAGAGCCTTAGCCCTGAAGGCATTGGAGATTATAACTCATCTAGTCATCTAGTGAGGCACAACCCAGAAACAGATGATGCTGTTGGAACCAGTGGGTCTAGATTCTAAAGCACATCCCAAGTGATTGATTCCATTGGGAATCCATTGGGGAGCCACTTCTCGAAGGCATTTAAATCTACAGGTCATTTCAGGAACACACTTGAACCAATATCCGTTTGAAAGCAGCTCTCACCATTCCTATTTGTCCTTTAATACAGAGCGTTGGCAAGAGCTTTCCTCATTTTTCCTTCTCCCCTTTTCCAGAATCATCACTTATCTTTACTGGCAGATCACCGAGGGAAGGAAGATCATGATCAGACTACTCCATGAACAGATTGTTAACGTAAGTCCGCTTGGTACCCTCCATCCTTCCTCCTTTTAAAATATTTTCTAACAGACATTTCCAAACATCCTCCAAAGCCGAGAGAACAGTACAATGACCTCCCATATCTCAACCATCTCGTCTCAACATTTTTATGATCTTATTCAGCCTATCTGTTTTGTTGTACCAAGGGTCATTATGATGTCACAATGACCCTAGATACACATGGACAGTCTCCTCCTGGGTCATTTACTGTCTCTGAAAACCTGCTGGAGGGTCAAGTATGGGTCTGTTCTGACTCAACAGTACACAACAACAAGGGTCATTGTACGTCAGAGCCAAACTGTATGAAACCTACCAACACAACAGTATTTCATCTACTTCCAGAAAAATCCAGGCATTGAAATCTCTGTGGATAAAAGTTCTACTCAGACACATATGTCATTGTCATGAATTGGAATCCATCAGATAACACTAGTTTAGTGTTAGTTAGTTAGTTAGCTAGTTAGTTCATCTACACGGCCATTTACCTGAAAAATCTCTAGATTCTTTTTAAAGCAAAACCTGGTTTGTATCGTTTTCAGAAGTTAAAACTTCCCCTGTTGGGGCTGCAGTGATGGGAGGGAGCACAGTGGAGGCGACCCCACCACCAGGCACCACATAGCCCATGCTGACCACCTGGCTCCCAGGCTTGGGCTGTCACTGCCAATGTCATGAGTAACAGCACAGTGCCCAATGCCCCCCAGGCCAACAGTGATTCCATGGTGGGCTAAGTGTTGGGACCTTTCTTCCTCAAACCCCTGGTCGGGGGGTTGATGGCTGTGGTAATGTATATACAGAAGAAAAAGCAGGTGGCCCGGCTTTGACACCACCTGCTCCCCAAGTACAGCTACGAGCCTGCTGAGGAGCTGCACGAGGCTGAGCAGGAGCTGCTCTCTGATGTGGGAGACCCCATGGTGGTAGGTACATGGCTGGCAGAGTGGCTACCAGCACAAGTGGATGCCCTTGCTGGACGTCAAGACATGAACAGACAGACCCATTGGCTTCATCTCCTAAGCCTTGGGTTCCAGAGGATCACAGACTGCTGCTTCTCTTCTCCTCCCCTCCTCGTGCCCACCCAACTTCTGCTGGGCACTAATGGCATCCACTTCCGTAAATAGCTTGCCTCCAGAAACCCTATGAACCTGAAGAAAGGATGAAAGTCACGCATGCAAGCGTCGAGGACTTTCGTTCGCCTACGACTCAATGGCACTTAACCACAGAGAGAGAGAGACCAGTTGGCTTTGTGGACAGAAAGTGATGCTACCAAGCCAACGGTGGTGACTCTAATCCATAGCCCTAAGGCCTGATTTAAATTGTTGTCGGTCAAACATTCTTCTAGGTCGTGAGGACTTTCGTTTGCCTACGACTGAACGACACTTAACAACAGAGAGAGAGACCAGTTGGCTTTGTGGACAGAAAGTGATGCTACCAAGCCAAAGGTGGTGACTATAATCCATAGCCCTAAGGCCTGTTTTAAATTGTTGTCGGTCAAACATTCTTCTAGGTCAAACATTCTTCTAGGTCGCATAGCCCTGGTGTGTCTATTTGCTGTACAGAGATAACTTGTGGTCACTGTGAAGTTGAACACTGTGACACTGATGTGTCAAATGCGAGAATGGTTACCCATGGTGGGCAGTGTTTGGTGGAGCTCCCGGGTTAAAACAAGCTTGGAAGCAGGAGTGGCATCCATTTCCATAATAGCTTGCCCCCGAAAACCCTATGAACCTGGAGAAAGGACGAAAGTCATACAAGTGTTGAGGACTTTCATTCACAGAGTCACTGCAAGTCGTCTATGACTCAACAGCACTTACAACAACAACACAACCCATTTTCTAAGCCCATGCATAACTGGAAGTTCCTACCTTCAGCCCTTTCTGAGCTCTGATCTGATCTGATAACTCACCCTCAAGTGCTGACAGGTTTTCCCTCAAGGCAAAGGTGACTGGGAGGGCTTGGCCCTTTTATGTAGTTCTTGGAGTCTGAGCGATGCAAAGGGTTACTGCACTAGGCAGGCTGCAGTTGTTATGGAGGGCCAAAGACCTAGCAAACTACTTAAAAAAAAAAAAAAAAAAACACCAAACCAAACCAAGCCCAACCTTATTAGAAGCACACAGGAGGTAGCCAAGTCAGAATTGACTGGTGACTTTTCTAGACTTCCCCAACTTGGCTTTGGCAATAGATTCCCAAGAGGGCTCTGGAGTGACTTTCATGGTGACAAAGAACCTGATGTATAGAATTCAGGATATATATTTTGTAAATAAAATGTTTTGTGGCTAAAAAGAAAGAAAAGAAGTTAAAACTTCTATATGAATCTCTTAAAAGAAAAATATTCTTTTTTTTTAAAAAATACTCTTTTAAAAAAAATTTTTTACTGTTATAATTTTGTTCACCCCCTCACCTTTTCTTTCACCTCCCCAACCAACCCCACAATTCACCCTTGATCCAGATTATTGTCATACATATAAAGCTTAATCATATATTTGGGGACATAGGACCTTTGATGGTACCAGAAGTAATTAGACTCCTGAACAAGTACCCACTCTTCCCCTGTACCCCTTCCCAGCTGTTGATCTGAATGAGTGAACTTCATTTCAGAGTCTGAGCTGTGGTTCTGTTCCATTAGCCCAGCTAACTCGCATAAAACATTTGCAAACTCAGGCAGACTGTACGCTTTGTCTTTGTCAGAAGGCACGCAGGCTGGCCTGGGTGTCACCAGGTGCGAGGCTCCTGGAGCACAGAGCAAGAAGGAGCAAACAGAAAACTATTTGCCCTTGGACTACAGTCAATAGTGTGTAACTTGCTTCCAGAAACAGCTTAGAAAGGCTACTATTCAAACAAGGGCGCTCTGGTGGCATAGACACTAGGGACTTTCATTGCTCTGACAGTTCAAATCCACCAGGTGCTCTGTGGGAGAAAGATGGACAATAATATATTCCTGTGTGATTTACAGTGTACAAAATCCCACTGGATTATTTGAAGAGGAAAGAGATCTCGAATAAGCAAGGCACTTCTGAAAAACAAGAATGAAGTGGGAGGCATAGCACCCTCTGATTTTAAAAACTGCAATGCAGCTATAATAACCAAAACAGAGAAGTACCGGTACAATGACAGGTACATAGACCAATGTAATAGAATCTAGAACCCAGAAATTAATTCATGTGTCTATCTATGGTCAACTGATATTCGACAAGGAAACAAAACCTATCAAATGGGGAAATGACAACCTCTTCAATAAATGGTGCTGGCAAAACTGAACTACTACCTACAAAAAGTTGAAGCAGGATGCACGCCTCTCAGCATACACAAAAATCAACTCAAAGTGGATCAGAGACCCAGGGATAAAGCTCAAAACAATAAAGATAATAATAAGAGACAAAGTTAGACCAAGCTTAAAAGGTCTAGCTCATGGTATAAAAAGGCTGACAGATACAGCCAGAAATACAAAACCAGGAGAGGATAAAATTGATGATTGGGACCTCTAAAGATTAAATCTCTGTGCTCATCAAAAAAGTTTTCCAACAGAGTGAAAGAAAACCTCCTGACTGGGAAAAACACATTTGGCAATACCATTTCAGACAAGAGTCTCATGTCAAAAGTTTACAGAATCCTACAGGGCCTCCACAAGAAAAAGACTGATAACCTGATTGAAAAATGGTCAAAAGACTTGGGAAGACTTTTCACAGAGGAAGATACTCAGATGGCTAACAGATACATGAAGAAATGCTCAGAATTCCTGGCAATAAGAGAGATGCAAATCAAAACCACAATGAGATACCATCTCACTTTAGTAGCAGTGGCAAAGTTTAACAGGACAGCAAGTAATACATGTTAAAGAGGATGTGGTGAGAAAGGAACTCTTACACATTGTTGCTGGGATTGTAAAATGGTCCAACCACTCTAGAAGACAATTTGAAATCTCCTCAAAAAACATAACATAAAAATTCCACATGACCCAGCTATTACACTGCTTGGAATATATACCCTGAAAAAATGAGAACTGAGACACAAATGGAGATCTGTATACAAATGTTCATAGCAGCCTTATTCACCATCACAAGAACATGAAAACAGCCCAAATGTCCAACTAAAGTCTAATGGATTGAGAAATTATGGTACATTCACATGATGGAATATTATACAGCACACAGGAGCAATGATTTTCAAAATCACTACCTAACTTGGGAGGAACTGGAAAACATGCTAAGAGAACTAACTCAATCTCTTAAGGACAAATATCATATAAGACCATTATTGTAGAAATAGATAACTAATAAAATGTGTATGAGGATCCAAGGTGGGGTGTTAGGAGCTGAGAGGTGAGGATGGGCAGAGGGTAAGTCATAGGTTCGCACAATTTGATGGGTAGAGGGAGGCGTAGGTAAAGGAAATGGGCAAGATCTGGTGTGAAAACAATGTGTACTTTGTAAGCAAACAAATTGTTGTTGTTGTTAAGTGCCATTGAGTAGAGCATGACTCAGATCAATCCTATGAACAAAAGACCTGAATCCTGTTCTATAACTATCCTCATTTCTCTACGTAAATAAAATTTCCAGAGGTATGTTGTTTAGCAAGCGGATGCCACTCTTGCTTCCAAGCCTGTCTCAATCTGGGAGCGCCAACAAACATTGTTCACGATGGGTAACCATGGTAACCATTATGGCATTTGACCCACTAGTGGCACAGTGTTCAGCATCACAGCAACCTCAAGTTACTTAAGTCCAGTAAATAGACAGACCAGTGCTGTACCACTTAGGAGAATGTTTATCCCAAACACAATTAACACCAGGCCTGAGGGCCGCAGGCCCAAGGGCCCAACAGTCGTTTAAATACAAAGCCCACCCACCAGGTCCTGTTTGACTTTAGACAAGAGGCTTTCAGCCCCACAGCTCACTGTTAGCTAAACCTGACAAATCCAATCAGCTCACAAACAATTTTGGTGGATTCGAGCCCTGTACCTCCGGGATTGCAGTGCAGCTTCTTGCCACTAGGCCACCAGAGCTCCCTTAGCAATGTATTTTTAAAATACAATTATCTGCTTCTTATTTCACATTTATGTTTTATAGTAGCAATCATATACATTTAATTAGTATACATATTTGATATTATTATCTTAGTTTTATGTCTAAATGTTCATAATGCTTGTATTTTTAAACTTTTAATCATATTTGAGCAGTATCTAGTATGCTAATGAGGATTAGCAATCTTGTCACTAATTTTTCATAAACATTTCTCAAATAAAAATATATCTTACCTGTAAAAAACAAAAAAACCCACACACCCACAAACGATTCTGAAAGAAAGAAAAACAACCAAACAGTCCACACCCAACCTTCACCAAAACGAGAGAGCCCGCCTTCCTGAATCTAACCTCATCACAAGCATAAAATAAAAATTTTATTAAATAAAACAAAGCTAAAGATCAAGAAGAAGAAAATAACCCCAAAACCCACTGGAGGGTCAGCCATGAGTTGGTTCTGACTCGATGGCAACAGGTAGTGATGAATAATTCACACACATACCAGGGAGTTGCTTTAGAGCAGTACTACAGTGGAATTGTATTCCACTATTACAGAGGAATGCTGTAGATCTCTTAGCTCTGCAGATAATTGCTTTCACTGACAGCAGACATGGCAGCAGTGTCCACCTACTTTGTAGGACTCAGTGGTGAGGTTCTGCTAAATTGGCTCCAACTCACAGCACCCATGTGTACAACAGAATGAAAACCTGCCCCGCAGCGTATCACAACCTCCACTATGGTTAAGACCGTATCAGACCCTATTGTTGCTGTTGTTGTTAATGTGTACTGTAGAGCTGGAACTGACCCATAGTTGATCTTCTGGTGGATTTTCAGAGGCACTTAATCACACAGGAGGAGTTTGCCCAACCTCCTCCTGCGGAATACATGGTGGCCTCGAACCCCAAGCCTTCAGGATTGCAGTGCAGCTTCTTGACACTAGACCACCTAGCCACTTAAAAATCTCCTTCCATCAGCTGTTCTTCCAACCCATACCCTGCTTATCATCTGTGTTTTTGTTTTGTGTTGATCTGTTTCTTGGCAGGAAGGTAAAGATAAAATGTTTCTGATTGAAAAGCTGATCAGGCTCCAGGAAGCAGAGAAGGAGAAGAGAGCAAGGCCCAGCTTACTAACCTTGGAACAGAGAGACATGGAGGTGAGCCCTGGGACCCAGACACCCCTTCTCCTGACCCACGATTCCTTGCTATCAGGGGCATGTAAGGAGACTTCACTTTAAATTCTCAAACATTTCTGTTATTTCCACACACACAAAACACACACACACACACTAAAACAATATCACTCATGTAACATTTTGTGAATGGCACATGCTTTTTATACTCTCCAGTAATACAGGTGGATCCTTTGAATTACACATAGTTCACTCTAGATGCTCCACGGGAGAAAGATGGTCAGTCTTCTACTGTGCAATTTACTGCCTCTGTTGGTTCTGACTCAACAGTACACACAACAACAGCAGGAATACAGGAGGGAGTGCTGGTAGCCCAGAGGGTAGAGTTATGCTCCAACCCAAAGGCACACAGTTTGAATCCACTAGCTGCTCTGCAGGAGAAAGGCAGGCGGTCTCCGTGTCATTTATAGCCTCTAAAAACCTGCTGGAGGCTCAGGAATAAGTCATCACTGACTCATAATGGGCAATGAGACAGACAGTGAGTGATAGAGGCTGTCCATCCCACTGAGACAAAATCAACTAACAGCCAACCCATTGCTATCTAGTCAGTTCTGACTCATAACAACCCGCCATCAAGGTTCTGAAGCTATAAATCTTAATGGGAGGGGACTGTCCATCTTTCTCCCATGGAGCACCTGGTGGATTTGAACAGATGACCTTTCAGTTGGCAGTACACCATCAGAAGGGTTTCCCTCTGAGCTGAATACACTGTAACCTTCAGAATATTCTTCTGGACCTTTACTTTCTGGCATCTGACAACATATGAATCTGCTAACACACTTATTTCTTACAAAAGTGGGCTTGTCTATTACAAATACTGTCGTAACTGTGTTTCCCTTCTTACTCATAAATCTTGGATATTTGAATTATTTGTCATTTTGTGTTGGGTTTGTTGTATTGGGGTGTTTTTTTTCACTACTAAGAAGAATCAAATTTTTTTCCTACAGTAATTTTGCATATTTCTGCCACAGGACAGACACATGGTAATTTTAATAGATATATCACATGCTTAAATATATTTTATCAATTTATATTTCTAACAAAAAGACATAAAAGACCTGGTGATATAGACATTAAAGAACACAGCTGCTTACCAAAAGATTGGTGGTTACTTCCCACATCTCAGGGAGGCGCTGATGGCCTAGTGGTAGGGAGCTGTGCTCTCAACCCAAAAGCAGCCAGTTCGAATCCACCAGCTGCGCTATGGAAGAATGATGGGCAATTGTCTTCTGTGCATTTACAGCCCCTGGAAATCTGCTGGAGGATCAACTGAGTCAGTTCTAACTTGATGGCACATAACAGCAATAAAACACTTTATGGGAAATTCAACTCACTAATTGTGTCTCTAAACATCTACAGTTCTGGAAACCCTTTCTGCTTTGTCCTATTCTACAGGGTCAGTATGAGTTGGAATCAACCTGATGGCAGTTTGAACTGCATAGCTCTGGGATTGCAGTGCAGCTTCCTGCCACTAGGCCACCAGAGCTCCCTAAAAAAGAATTTTATTTTTTTAAAAAAAGAAAATATTATGTGCCATAGAGAAGCTGTGGTATATTCACACAGTGCAGCACTGAAAAATGAGGAAATCATGAAATATTATACAAAATGGGTGACCCTGGAGGACATTATGCTGAGTGAAATATCTCAGATGCAAAAGGACAAATATTTTATAGGTCCACTGTTGTAAAAGGGGACTGACATCGGGGTTGAGGGAAGACAGAGAAGGAGATGAATGATGTATACTGCATTGAAACAGATGAGGAAGAGAACTGTTTAAAAGGGATATATGATTGGGTATTATTGTCATGACAGGAGTCCAGAACGAAGCCTGCAGAGTGGAATGGACTTTGGGGGAGGGATTGCATAACAATGAAAGAGTTTTACTTTTTGAGGAGAAGAGTGAATTGGCGGGGTAGGGAGAAAAGTGCAACAAGGAATGGCTGGAAACCTTAAGTCTCTCTAAACTTTGATTAAAATGAATTTTAAAAAAATAAAATACTATGTCCCATCTCATTGCCTCTGACTCATAGTGAGCCTATGTACATTAACAATGAGCCCTGTGCTATTCTGAGCCAATCTCCTCATCTCTAACAGACCTAGTCCCACTCCTCCAGTCACTGAGTCAATCCAACTCATCCCGGGTCTTCCTCTTTTGCTCTGTCCCTTTCAAGCATGATGTTCCTCTCTCAGGACTGGTCTCTCTTGGCCACATGACCAAAGTATGTGAGTTGGAGTTTCAAAATCCTTTCCTCCAGGGAACAGCTTGGTTTCACCCTCTCCAGGACAGATCTGTTTCTTCTGGCAGTCCATGATGTGTTCAACAGTTTTCTCCAGCACAACTTAAAGGCATTGATCTTTCTTCTATCATCTTTAGTTACTGTCCAGCTCTTTGATGCATATCAACTAATTGTGAAGACCATGGATTAGGTGCACCTTAGTCTCCAGACTGACATCATTTCACCTTAGTACTCTAGAGAGGTCCCTGACACCAGGCTTTCCCAATGCAATTCATCCTTTCATTTCCTGACTGCCTGTGCCAAGAGTGTTGATTGTGAAACCAAGCAAGCTGAAATTATCAACAATCTCAATCTCTTCTCCGTCCATGATGAAGCTGCCAATTGGCCCAGGGGTGAGAACCTTTACTTTCTTGCTGTTGAGCTTCAGTCTATATTGAAGACTACAGTCCATGACCTTCTGCAACAAATGCCTCATGCTATCTTCAGTTTCAGCAAGCAAGGTTGTGTCATCTGCATAATGCAAATTGTTGATGAGTCTTCCACTCTGTGCTATGTAGATGACACAACTTGCTGAAAGTGAGGAGGACTTGAAGCACTTGTTGGAGATCAAGGAATGCAGCCTTTGGTATGGATTGCATCTCAGTGTCAAGAAAACCAAGATTCTTACCGCTGGACTGATAGGCAACTTCATGATGGATGAGCAGAAGGTTGAAACTGTTAAGAGCTTCATCTTGCTTGGATCCCCAGTTGGATCTCTTAGTCCTACTAGCAGTCAAGAAATAAGGAGATGCATTGCACTGGGGAAAATCTGCATGTTTTCTTCTTTTTCAGCAACAAAGCTCTCTGCATATGGAAGAGAAACCTTCTTCTTCTGGTGAGTAACAACCTGGCATTAAATAAGCCACTAATTTATTCAGGTGAGTACGCCATCAGAGTGTTTAGATAGAGAGGCCCATGTAACTGGTCACTTTTTCAATAAGAAAACCCACCTTAAGTTGCTTTAAACAAAAAGATAAGAACAACTGTTGTATTAAGTATGGCTAGAAGTGGGGGCTGACATATGTCAGTCAGCAGGCCCGGTCTTCTGTCTGTCTGTGAGGGTGTTACATATGCTCTTTTTAGATAGCTTTATCAGTTTCATATATTTTAGTTTGACATCTACTGGGAAAGAGTAGAGATTCTGAATTCTCATCTCATTAGGTCTGATGGGGTGATGTAGCCTCCCATGACCCAGTTTCTGTGGCCACGGAGATGTGATGATTTCATTGGCCCAATCTGAGTCTCAGCTTCATCTTTGGTACAGGTGATATGGCCATATGAGATTGCACAGACTAGAGTTGGGATAGAGGGAACTTGGCAAGGAAAACTTGGGTCTAGTGACAAAAGATAAAAAAGCATTAGTTTAAATTTTGAGAATGTTAGGCAGGTATGAAATTATTTGCCACATGTTGTAATCATGTTTTGAATTTATTTCAATATGCAGTATTTGAAAAATGTCAATACATAAAGGAAAGGAAGTGAGTATAACTAAGTCAATATATTTTTAAATCAATTTTTATAATTTAGAAGACATTGCATTTTAATATGTTACTATTAAAATTGTGTCCTTGTAAAAAAAAAAAAAAGAAAAAGCAGAGGAAAAAAAGAAACAAACTGAACCCTCTTGGTTTTTTGGGGGTTTTTTTTTGGCATGGTACTTACTGAAGACGTCCAGAGTCAAATCAAGGGAGATTCAGTTGAAGGAGATTAAATTAAAAAAAAAAAAACAACCAAAAACAAGTGGGGCAAGGAAGGTCCACAGAGCTGTGGGATCTTAAAGGCCAGCTTGGACCCCTGTTGTAGAAATGAGGCGGTGGGTGTGTGTCTGCTAATTTCTCCCTCTGTCACACCCAGACCTGCGATACAGGAGAACCACTCAAGAAGAGAACCCAGAGGCCTGATGACTGACGCAGGAGCCAGAGGCTGTACAAACGGAGCATCCCTTGCACGACACCCAGGCCTTTAGGAGCCTTGCAGAAGGCGGACTAGAAGAGTCTACCCAGCAGTGAAAACCAAAGACAGTGTGAACATGAAAGTGAAACCAGACATTCTCTGCTGGTTTTGACTCCTCCGTGATCAACGAGTTGCTGATTTTCCAAGATAAAAACATTTTGCATTTTTCAATACAGACTATAATAATATCTAAATGAACTCACAAATATCTGGGAAGAATGCTGTATTTTACATAAAATTCAAGAAATATGCATCTGTTCTGTTCATCCTTGAAAATATCTTTTCCCAGATCTCAAGTCAGGGCTGTGTTACTTTGTGTTCCTGGCAAAGCCCTTTGCTTCCTGGTAAAGGTTGGGAAACTGGTACAAAGTGGACCGGCCTGAATAAAAATACAGTCCTCAGTCAGGATGGGAAGCTTCTGGATTGTTGTGGGACTGGTGCTTGCGTGTGACTCTGAAGTCAAAGTGTTCTCATGTCACCCAAAGGTGAGGTATAACTAGAGGTGTTAGACGATATATTTAGAGTTGCCTGTAGCACTGATACCTCAAAGGTTGACAGTTCAAACCCAGTCACTGCTCCTCAGGAGAAAGATGGGCAGTCTGCTCCTGTTAAGCATCAGAAACCCGGTGAGACTGTTCTGCTTTGTTCCACCGGTTCGCTATCTATTGGAATAAACTTGACAGCAATGGATTTGCTTTGGGTTCTTGCAAACAAATACATGGATCCTTAAAGAAGGGACAGAAGAGAGTCTGCCTCTCCTTCGAGTTTCCTATATGACCAGCAAAGTCTTAGGGTGAACCAAACTTCCTAAAATCAGTGGCCATGTGTGGACTCTCTATCTGCATATATGCAGATATGTGAATATCTTGATGTATTACATAGCATTTTAAAAAACTTGGCAAATGAGGCTTGCAACTAGACTTAAAACAGAAAGAGTTCTCGTATAAGGAATGCCTGTCAGGGAACACAATTGGAACTACATCTAGAAAATTATTAAAATACATTAGGGAGCTCTGGTGGCCTCATGGCAAGAAGCTGCACTGCAATCCCAGAGCTATGAGGTTTGAATCCACCAGATGCTCTGCTGGAGGAGGAGGGGCGATCCCCTCCTGTATCAGTCAGATCCGATTTGACGGTACACGCACACACACACACACACACACAAAAATTAAATACATCTGAACACTTGCACGCATCTACTATTCAGTCACCGCTGCAATTCACTTCGCAGATGCAATCAACCGATTTAGGTGTCATCTTTCCTAGTAGTTTCAAATGTGAACAATTAGAAATTACTTTCTTTTGCTCATTCATTCATTCAACAAACATGTGCCAACAGATGGCGAACAAGACAGTTACCCAAGTCAGAGAAAGTCTGCCCTCATGGTGCTTGCAGTATAAGCCTCAGTGATTAACCACTAATTACAATTTTTGTGCAGGTAAAGTATGGGGACTGCTGGAGACATAGAGGGTCAGGGAAGGTAGTCTTATGGAAGAGATGTTTGAATTGAGGTTCCTTGCTGTTGTTAAGTGTCACTAACTACAACTCATAGTGACCCTATGAACAAAAGAGCAGAACCTTGTCCTGATGTTATGTGCTGTCGAGTTGCTAGCGACTCATAGCAACCCTATGTAAAACAGCTCCGAAGCCTGCCCTATCTTGTAGCAATTTCTTTTTTCCTATAATTATATTTTATTAATTTTCATAAACATTTACAGAGATTTTAGGCTTTCACTCATTCATTGTTGCACTATTCTCTCTACCCTCCTCCCAGTTTGTTCTTGTCCAAATGCCACAGTGCTTGTCAAAGCCAGTTCTGATTAATCTTCTTTGTCAGTGTGTCCTTTGCCATTCCCTATCATTCCTCCCTGAGAGAGACTTCACCCTGAGTCATAAGGAAAAGGGGATGGCGTATTCTCTTAGCTACTTCCTGCTGAAAAGGGACGCTGTGGGTTTCAGGGTGAAGATCTTCTCTCACTACTCTAAAGGGCCCCTTTGGCAGTAGGAAACACATAGACTATTATGGAGATTGATTTTGGAATTTAGTGCACTCTTGTTGATTGTGCTTGGCTGTACATGTTCATATCCTTGAAGATGTATCATGGGGGTGTTGCAACCTAGAAGACACAAATTTAACTAACAAGTTATAAGTACATGAGTCAAAAGTTATGGAAAAGTAAAAGAAAAGATTCTTTCATTGTTTTACAAACCCTCCCCCAGGTCCCCTCTACCATGTAGCCCTCGCTCTAGTCTCCTGTGATGACAGAAATACCCAGTTATATCTCTCTTTTAGACGGTTCTCTCCCTCCTCTGTTTCAGTGCAGTATACATTATTGAACCCATCTTACTCAGTCTCTCCCCAACCCCAAGGACAGTCCCATTCTACAACAGTGGCATCATGTAATATTTGTCCTTTTGTGACTGGGATATTTCACTCAGCATAATGTTCTCCAGAGTCAACCATTTTGAATAATATTGCATGAGTTCCTTGTTTTTTAATGCAGCATAGTATTCCATTGTGCGAATATACCACAGCTTCTCTAGCCATTCGTTTGTTGATGGATCTTGTAGCAATTTCATTGTCTCTAACACACCTACCCTGATTACCTCAATCACTAAGTCAATCCATCTCATCCAGGGTCTTCCTCTCCTGCGCTGTCCCTCCACCCTCCCAAGCATGGTGTCCCTCCCCAAGGACTGGTCCCTCCTGGCAACACTCAAAGTATGTCAGAGGAAGGAAGCTTCAAAAATCATGTCTCCAAGGAGCAGCCTGGTTTCACCCTCTCCAGGATGGACTTGTTTGTTCTCTTAGCAGTCCAGGGAGTGTTCGATACTAAGAACACTAAGGCTATACTGGTTGACAGCTGGTGAGCTAGGAGTTAGAGCAGTTCTTCCCAAACTTAGTAAATAGATGTACGAGTGGTGAGCTCACAAATACCGTATTGGAATCTTCAGGGGCATCCCCAGCCTCTTACACTCACATTAGTTCAGTATGAGAGTAACGTGTGTTACAATAATAACAACTTTCTAATATTGAGAGGTGGGTAAACATTATAGTTTTGGGCTTTTATAAATTATTACTTGAGTGAAAGTTTGTAAAGTATACTGCTTTTCTTTTTTTATATTTTTTTGCATATTGCTTTTCAATTCAACCATTCATAAACATTTTTTCATAACATTCATTTCAGTATGCACAATGGAACAGTACTTCCCTCACTTCTTCCTTGTAATTCTCATCTCCATTAGTCTTTCCAGCCTACCCCTTTCTGCCCTTGGGGCTTTAATGGTGGGCAAATGCTGTTCTTTTCACCTTGTTGTTGTTGAGTCCGCAATGACTTCTAGGGACCCTCTGAACAAGGGCTCTAGACCTAGCCCTCTGCACCATCTTCCTCATCTCTGATATGCTCGATCTCACAAAGGCAAGTCTGCTTGTTGAGGGTCATTCCAAGGAGTATGTGCCTCCCTGGTGCTATTGGGGTGCCTTAATAGGCCAGTCTATTGTGTGGCTCAAAGCTATTGGGGTTAGCGTGACTCCAGGTTTGGGAAGTTATATAGGCTATGTAGGGAACTCTGGTGGTCTAGTGGTCAGGCACTGTGCTGCAATCCTGAAGGCAGGTGGTTCAAATCTACCATCTGCGCTGTGCTGCAATCCTGAAGGCAGACGACTCGAATCTACCATCTGCCCCTCAGGAGAAAGACAGGCAATCTCCTCCCATGTGATTAAACTGCCTCTGAAAACTTGGTGAGGGGTCAGCTACGGGTCGGTTTCGACTTGACAGTACTGAACAATAACAAAGTCTCAGGACTCCAGCAATCTGGACCAGCCCAGGAAGCCTGACCTTTTTCATGTCTTTGAATTTTTACCCCATGTTTTTCTCCCATTCTCTCCAGGATCTTCTGCTGGATCCTTCTAGGGTGGTCAGCGGCAGTAGATAGGCAGTATCTGTGTCTTCTGGCCTCAGGGCTCTGAAGTTGAGGTCTGCGTGGTCCGGTATTCCTGTGCATTGATTGTTTCATTACATCTCTGTGCTTCTTCCCTCTTCTTTGCTCCCAACAGAGAAAGACCGTTACTCCTTGAACAAAAGTTAAGACCCTGGTTGCCACTCAGCAAAGCAGCATGTCCAACCTCATCTTTGTGGACTCTGTCATGCCCACTTACCTTGATGTTTCCCAAAGCTCTGGTCCCGAGGCTCCTGAACCAGCAACCCGATCCCTCAAGGGGCCCCTTAGCTTATGTAAGCTTATGAAGGATTGCTCCCTCCTGACTGTAGGGGTGAGTGTGTGTGTGTTTACTGCAAATACTAATATGAATGTAGAAATAGCATCTAAACCCTGCCCGAGTGTAGTCCTTTACTTGAATCCCTATCTGTTCTTCTGTTCATCAGCCTGTGTACCTACTGTTGACTCCTGTCTCTTCCCTTCCTTTTGTTATTATATTGATTAGTCCCTTATTGTACATTGTCTTACCCTTCACCTATCTTAATTAGTAGTTATTAACTATTTATTATTAAATATTTACTCTCTTCTCGTCCCTAATAACCATCCAAGAATGAGTCAGCCTTTCTTTAGCTTGTCATTACATTGTTGTTATGGTCTGTCAAGTCACCTGCCACTCATAATGACCCTATCTATGTACAGCAGCTCTGAGACCCGCCCTGCCCTGAGACAGTCTCAGGAACTCCGACACACCTACCCCAATTGCTCCAGTTACATTATCAATTCATTTCATCCAGGGTCTGTCTCTCCCGCACTGTCCCTCCACCTTTTTGAGCTTGATGTCCTTTTCCAACGATTGGTCCCACCTGGCCACGTGCCCAAAGTATGTCAGATGGTGCTTCAAAATCCTTGCCTCAGAGCACCCACTTACCCACCGAGTCTGACCACTGCAGTTCTCTCCTCGTGCCCACAGGCACCTGCCTGTGACCTCCCAGGGGTGCTCTGGCCCTGCCTCCCA